TCTGACCCCCGAAAGACAGTGGTTTGCCCACTTGGTACCTCACAGGTTAAAGAGCAGAGCTTTGTTGAAGAGCTTCCAGCAGGCCTCAGGAGAGTTTGCCCCTTGCCAGGTCTCTCACATTTGAGCTCTGTCTTGTCAGGGGCAGCCTCAGTCACCGGGAAAAGAAGAGCCTCCTGGACTCTGTGAGGAAGTGACAGCACAGGTATGCGTGGCTGCAGCTCCTAGTCCAGGAAAAACTCCCTCAAGGGCAAATGACCAAAGACGCAGGTCAAGTAGGACCTCGCCTGCCTCCAGCAGAAACAAATCCCTACATGAGACAGATGTTCCGAAGAAGGAGAGGAAGACCGGCAACCTGCCTCCCAAGAGGGCCTCCATCAGCCGTGGTCAGCATGACATCTTACAGATGATTTGCTCCAAGAGGAGGAGTGGGGCTTCCGAGGCCAACCTGATTGGTCAGTGTTACAGTGGCAGGAATTGGCTCTATCGTCTCATACCAAGGTTTGCAGAGTTTCATTGTCTTTTCTTTTTGACAGTTGCAAAATCATGGGCAGATATAGTAAAACTCGGCGTGAAGCAAACACAAACAAAAGTTGTGAAGCATGTCCCTCCAAAGCAGACGAGCAAAAGGCCAAGAAGACCCAACAGCCCTAAGGTACGGCGCCACCGCTGGCCACCGCTACCGCTGCTATGTGTGACTGCCTTGAGCGTATATATTCCCACTGTGCTATTTTATCTTATTTTGTCCACAGAAGCCTACAAGCCACGTTCACAGTCAGTTTAGCACGGGCCACGCAAACTCACCCTGTACCATTGTAATAGGGAAAGCTCAGATTGAAAAGGTACACGTGCCTGCTCGGCCCTATAGAATGCTGAACAACTTGGTGTTGACCCAGAAAATGGACTACAATGAAGATCTGTCAGGTAAATGCAATCTGAGCTCCTAGTTACAGCCCTTTTGATCCTGTTGTTTGTGACTTTGTTGACGTGTGCCACCTTCATCCATCCATGAATGT